TGTTTCATGAAATGAAACAGTGAAGCAAAGCCTTGTCAAAAATACCTCAGCTCATTTGGGAGCAATCTGGCCCCAGGCTATATTCTTTAATGCTAGTATCTGCTAATATTAAGCAAAGTGGAGAACAGGACATAATGACTTCACCAAATCATTTTCCTATCTCTTTTGCTTGTACCTGAGCACCATGTTTCTTAGCAGAGACCAGCTTTCCTTCACCTGATCACTGATTTGTGATGACTTTAATGTGTACCTACATAATGTGTTTGTTGCAATGACTTTAATGTGTACCTACATAGAAGCCTGCGTATTTTCCATTTTTAACAGTACAGTTACTTACTTCTTTCTTCCTCTGCGAAGCCATCATAAAGTATGAGAGAAATCATTGGGACACTGTCTTTCTTCTTCATCTACAACCAACGTTTGCAGTTCTGTAGAAATCATTACAGGTCATGCCAAGGAGTTGGTAACCAATCCTTGGATTGCCTCTATTATCTTCTGTTGTTGTTCAAACTAATCTTTTTTGTATCTTTCATATCTGTTTGTCACTTACAATTATTTAAAGAGTATTAGCAGTCCATTATTACTAGCACTAGAAAGAGAATAATCCAGGTAATACCAATGAAACTGAACAAGCCATATACTGCAACATATCATTATTCCAGCTTATGCTATAGGTACATAAACAAAGTCATTTTCAGGCCAGTCTTTCCTGAAATCCTCTCAAGTGAATCACTCAAGTGGGTATCAGCTGATTTGCATTGAGATCACTGACATGGGCTTTTATGGCCTTCAGAGAAAATGGCTGTGTCTTTTTGTTTTCTTTGCAACAAAACACTCTCAAATAATAAATTATCCCTTTCTTCAAGTGGCAACAGATTATTACTTGTTCCAAAGTGGTAAATATAGTAGAGGTGCAAAGATTTGTGGAGCAAAGAAGTTAGCCTATATAGTGACCAATTAAACCAATATCAGATCTATACTGGTTCTTAGAAGGATTTTAAATTATTAGCCCAATCTACTAGACTACTGCCACAAAAATTTGCTATCCTGTTTTCCTTATCTGCCACACTCCTGGACATGTGCTCTTGTTTTATTCTTTTGTTTATGGCATTCGGGCTCCTTGGTGGGATGATTCAGTCCACTGTAGTTGGAGTCACCTAATCCAGCAAACCCCACCGCATTTGGCACCTCCAGCACCTTAAAGGAGGTCCCATTTCCTCAGGAAGGTGAGATATAGGATGTCTGTTGTATGGTGTAGAATTAATCTAGTTTTGAGTTCTGGATCCCAATGGGATGCTTAACATGCAGCAAGTTAGCCACATGCTTTAATTATCTTGCTGTGTCGGTGTCTTGGTTTATGGTTGAATCACTGTATAAAGTAATAGACTACTTGAAGGTCTTTTCAATAATTCTGTGGTATCAGTGCAGAAAAAAAAAAAGGTTAATTCTTAGGGGTTTTTATTTGCATGAGGATGCTACTCTGCAGCAAGCTGGGGAGTAAATCTTTAGCCTCAAAAAGTTATTTGACACTGAATCCCCATGTGACACTTCTTTTCCACATGGAGAATGCCTTTGGGTGATGGAACATATTCTTCCTTGCAGTGGATTAATTAAGATGAGCAAAGGAGCCAATAGTGTGCAGTAGAAATACTTATCAAGTGGCTAATGCAAAGCAGTTATTTTGAACATTATCCCTCTATAGACCACTTCCAAGAATCACTAGTGAAAATATTGAGCCAAATAATCATTTGAAACATAAGGCAGATTAATTATAATAATTCTTGACCATTTGTAACTATGACTTTCCAAGTGTCTTGCAAATACTAGGGGAAGAATTTAATTAAAATAAAAGGTTTGAAATATTTATTTTCACTTTTGCTCACTTATTCAGAGTTTAAACAATTAAAATAGTTTCTGAATAATCTTACATGAGTGCCTTGGGGCAGTCGGTATGTATATATATGTATATACATTTATAATTGCAATCCACAGCTCCATACTTGAAGGTCAAAATGATTAATTTTGCCTTTTTAACTATCAGAAGAGCTTTGACAATAATAGATTGTGCTGGTTTAAAAGTTAACCAGCAAGGCAAAATGAACTCAATTCAAAAGAGAGATTTATAAGTCAGAATAACAATTTATTAAAATAATGCAATAAGTACAATTATACAGACAGACAATTGGTTTTAATCCACAAAACCCAAATGTACAAACCCAGCACCCTGGGGTATGAACAAAAGTGGTGTACCTTGGCCCACCCCCCGAGTCCAAAGCAAAGGGAGAGGGAATAAACCTGCTGGTGGGAGAGCTGCTGCAGTCTGGTCAGAAGTGGTGATTGCAGTCCAGTTGAGGGTGGTGGTCTCAGTCTAGTTGAAGGCAGTGGTCTGGAGTCTTCCTCTGGATCCCACGAGAGAGCCTCAAGGCTCTGAAACTCCCAGTTATATACTCTCCAGTTCAGGCGGGAGTGCTCAGTCCCTCCCTCAGAGTAGGGAATTCCATAAAAGGGCATGCGGATGCTCAGTCCCTCTTCCATATAAGGGTATCAGAGCGGGGAATTCCATATAAGGATATCAGAGCAGGGAATTCCATAAAAGGGTACAGGAACATCTTCCCACCTTGCAGGCCTCTACTGACAGCAGTTTTTGGGAAATGGCATGGAGGCTATAGAATACACAGTTTTGGGTTACACCCATCCAGGGATGAATTGGTCCCAGCCGTTCTAACCAGGACATAGATGTGTTATTACTGCCCTCATGTAGGAGTGCACTGAAGCACACAGGATTGCTGTTGTGATCCATACCTCTTGCAGTCAACAATAATTCTGCCGCAGCTTTGGTGGAGCAAGATGTTACAGTGATCTCTGCAGTCACACACCAAGTCAATGCCTCAGGCACAGCTGGGAATCAAGAAACCAGTGTCCAGTTCTGTATTTTGTTCATTGGAGCAGATATCTTCAAACTGTATAGATTTATATATTTAGTGCACTTAAACCAGAATCCTTTTTGCTAGTCATTGAGTCCTAGTAAACACCATGTTAGAGCTGGCAGTGTCTCATGGAGAACATTCAGGAACGCCAGTATTTGAAGCTAACACTCTTCAAACATTGGCATTGGTTTTTATTGTGAGGTTTATTTTATAATTTTAAAACCACCCTTTTCCCTGCCTTTTAATTTTAAAATTGATTATTTCCATTTAAAAATTATTGCCGTCTTTCATGCATCTTCTCAGATGGCTCGTAAACTCAGACATTGACTTCAAAGTCTGTTTTCTGTGCTTATATGATTGATTCAAATGCAGAATATGATGGGAATGTGGTAAAAATAGAAAGGCAATCACTGTGACTGAGTATGAAGTGGAGAATTTCTCCAGTGACTGTTGCAGAGGATTTGTATCACATTAGTCTGTCACGGTTACAGACATATTCTTCTAATTTTTAAGAGTACAGAATAGTGTAAATGGAATTATCTGTAAGTGCAAAAGGATTGAGTGCCTTTCCTTTTAAATGTCATCACACCTGGTGAGATCTGTGGTTGAAAGTGTGTAGTGTAGTCGTAGCCCATTATTATATTTTATATTTTCGGTTTCGTCGCAAATGGTATCTTAGCAAGCAAGTCTTTGGTACTTCAATATTAGAACCATTGGTCTTAACAGTGGTAGTAAGTGATAGAAAATATTTTTTAAATATTTTTATTATTAATGATTTCCAGTGTTTTGCTAGCCTGAAACGTACTCAAGGCACAGGGTCTTCAGAGGGAAACACTTGACAAGTGCAGCGTAGAATGTGACAAAGGCCAGCATGTGACTGCAGGTACTGCAGGCCACAGCAGCACTCTGGTGAGGTGCAGCCCTTTTGCTCTTTAGTGAGCATTTCTAGCTTCCCCATTGCTGAGGGAGCAAGTGGGACATCAGGAAAAAGATGTGCGATATGACATGCTGGGCAAGGACTGGAATCAGAAGTGTAGAGTTGATCTCCTGCCCCAAAGTGACAAGGGGATAATTCTGGATTGAGTGAAGATATAATTTATTTTGATTTTCTGCTAACTCTTGCTCCTTCTTTGGGGCTGGGCTCAAGTCTTTGCATAGGAGAGAGAATTAATCCCAGTTTCCAGCTTTCTTTATTTTGAGATATTGCTTAGCCAAGCCTCAGTTTCAGAAAGGGAAATTCAAACAAATTCTATTCTACTATTATCTTTCACTACCTCTCAGCAGTCTGTTGGATAGAGGGTATACTTAAAAGAACAGATAAATGAGTATATGAAACATTTTATCGTGCTAAAAATATTACAAAATAAAAAGCACAGCAGAGCTGGCTCTCATATAAAAAGACTGTGTGCATTTAGGAAACAAAGGTGGAACTTGCCCAAGGTGCATTAAATACAATCCTGGGTTTTCTGGGACTCAATCCTACTTCTTCATTTTCAGAGCATATATTTTTCTCTGCAAATGTTCTTAGGACACTGTCGTAAATCTAGTTGTTTGGTGAATAACTCAGAAAACACTGAACTTCTGGACCTAAAATTGCTGACCAAGAAATGTTCTGCCAGCAAGGCTTGTTATAATTTATATTTCTAAGAGAAATCAAAAGACACCAAAGGAGGTTTCTCTCTATTTCTGTAATCAGACCTTAATCCAGTTATAAGGTTCCGAGGTCCAAGCTGTGTCTTCATCCAAGTTTTCACCTACAAGAGAGATAAAAATGATGGAAAATAAAATTGCATTCGTCTATAATTAATACTTATGGTATTAGCAATAATTAATGGGTAACTTCAAAGTTGAAATAGGATGAGAAAAATACTGGGATTTGAAGCTCTTCGGCTGTCTTCCTCTCTTTCCTAGCCTCTAATTTAAAATGAAATTTTAAGGAGCAGCAGGATGTCTGGGGAGTAAAACCTCTGCCTCCAAGCCCTCCTCGGATGAGATGAAGTCCTACAGGGTCAGTGGTGTCTGACACAAAGCAGTAATTCGATTTGTAGTCACGTATTTTCTTTTAATTTCCAGCCTCAGAGCCCAATTTGAAGGTACGTTCAAGGTTAAAACAGAAGGTGACAGAAAGGAGAAGCAGTCCTTTACTCAGGAGGAAGGATGGAAATGTCAGTTCATTCAAGAAGCGTCTTTTCGAGGTGACAGGTAATTAAGAATGGAGAAATGCTATATCAGTTGCCATAGTTCACAGGATAGTGGTCATACTTCGAAATTGAAACTGTTTGCTAAACAAAAAGAACATTTACAATATTTGACCTCATCCTGACAATTCTTGGTTTGACTTTGCATTGATATTTAGTAGCTTCATGGCTTGCCCAGGTGATTAGGTGATTTCTTTACGCAGTCAAGTATCACTAGTCTGTCAGACATGTACCTGAATTCACTTGGTATATCAGAATTATGTCACACCAAGATGGAACTAAAGCACAACATGAACAAATTCTCATCAGTGTCCTCGTACATGCGGTTCTTGTGACAGCTTTTCACAGTATGTCATGTGTGAAATTGGGACATGAATGTGAATATACATATGAAAGTAATTAAATAATTTCGTTATAAATTATTTCCAGATTATAATTTTTTACAACTAATTTATTAATTCCATTTTTGAAGCCTCTATGAGATTCTTGATCTCCACTCTCTTAGTTTTAGCTGATGTCTTTATATTTTACACACAAGATATTTACCATAGGAGTTTTTTGTCTGACACCATTAAAAAAGCAAAATCATGAAAGTAGGTATCTTCACTTCCTAGCTCTGACAATAATTTGGAGCCTTTCAGACTGTCGTTATAATTATGAATACTGACTATATGACATTTTGGACCTTTCACCCTGATCAAACGTTGTCTGAAGCCTTTTTCCCCTTACTTTTTATTCTTTTAACTGAAAATAGGCCTTTATTTAAATGCCTATTTATACAAAAAGTGCTATTTTAATTTTTTTTAAAAATTAGAAAAAAAGATTAAGTTTGTCTTTCTCCACTTCTATGAAAGCTATTGAAAATACAGCGCAAGAACTTTTATTTGACCAGAGAGTATAGCTGGGTATGGATTCACTTCAGTAAATCAAAGAGTGAGATCCAAGTAAGAGTTAGGAAGTCTCCTGTAATGTCAGTCACAGTGAGAGCATATTTTTGCATGTGAATTACGGCAGAAAGAGTGAAGAAGCAAAGAAGTAGCTATAGAATATTTACTGCCACATTTAGATATTAATTATTTTAACTTCCTGAGTGCTTTAATTTGAAAGCTGTCCCATGAAATAGGCGTACCTCCACTAATGCTACACTCTTCCATCTTTAAACTTCTTAACTGTTTCTATTACATAAATGTAATTTATATCAGGGTAGAATTAGAACAACACACAACAAGATCATCCTCTTCTCCTAAAACAGAACTCAGGTCATTTTAAGTCAAAATAACATGCAGCCTTTCAAATGCTATTTTAATATTTTTGCATACTGTAAATATTCCTTCATATTCATGCCCAAGATGTAGCAAAAGTGCATATTTTGCCACTAGTATTGCATAGGTAGTGATTAGTCCACACTGGGCTCATCCCTGTCCTACAAAGAAAGGGGTGGCAGTAGACCTCATGAATGGACGACATGTTATCATGACCTTTGCAGTCCTGCTATCTCTGTCATTTTGATCTCTTACAGAGATAGGACTCTTTGCAATTAAAAAGAGTGTCTTTTCTTTACTCATTACAAGCTCTGTGTCTCTCTTTCTGCCTGATACTGAGTGTTATACCATCTTTGTGGGAAAAATAAATAGTAAATGCTTCTTATGTGAAGTAGACAGATCTGAAGGGGAAAGACCAAGAGTATCTTTCCTCATTAACAAGAAAAGGAGGATGAATTAAAAATCTTCAATGTAAGTAAATAGCGTAACAGATAGATACTTTTCAATAGCAAAGAAAGCCCTATGCCATAAAGAGTATATAATTAATCAAGATCACATGTACCTTTCCAATGTGAAATTCATGTACGTTTAATCTGTTTTTCAGAATCCTCAGTCAGTAGCAGCTCACCTGGATCAGGTCCCAGTTCCCCAAGCAATGGTCCAACCAGCAGTACAACAGAAAACGAAACCTCAGTTTTGCCGTCTAACATTCAAGCTGAGGTAAGACTCATTACTGTGGTATAGACAATTGCTAAAATTTCTAGACTGGAGAGGATGGATGGTTTGTTTCTAATTTTGTTGGGATCATAGTCACAGGCAGAGTGATGGCAAAAGATGTAATTTTCAAGGATACCAGGACACTTGCAGGCTAACATCAAAATGTGTGATATATGACGTGTCTTCATAGACGTGATGCATGTTCAGGAGATGCTTTGGTAACAAAAGTCCAAGAAAAAGGAGCAGTAGTGCTACTGGAAGAATGGAGGTGAGCTGGGAAAGAAACTTGGAAGCATTTATGTTACAGAACATTACCTTCTGGGATAACCCGAAGAGGTGCTCAGTGCTGAATACTGATAAAGAACTCCCAGGTGGAAAAGAGCGATTTAGGCATTGGTGATCCTAACACATATGAGTTAAGTTAAGGTAGTCCCAAATTCAGATGAGTGCTGAAGTAAATTCATTTAATTACAGTACTGGAGTTAGATGACTAAGTCCTTTGTCACATTTGCCTTTTATTTTGCTGTACCTCAGTTTCCTTATCAGGGCAGTACTTACCATCATAAGTGACATGCCAGAAGTCCTGGATACTTTTTTTGTAAAGAGAGATTGTAAGCAGAAGGAATCTTAACTACTCCTCATTCTGTTTCATGAATACGTGCCTATAACAACAGGAATGCAGATGGTAAATCAGTTGTGATAAACCTCATTTAGCATAGACCACATGCCTAAGTCATGCTTTCCATGACAGTATTGTAAAGGGACAGTAAATTAATGTGACTAAGAGAGAATCAATTTCCACAATATTCTGTATCCAGTGCTTATATTTACAGCAGTTCCTGCTTTGGTGTCAGAGTTTTCTATTAATTGTTGGTTTATGCTGTTTATGTTAGAAAAATTGCATAAGAAAATGTGATTTAACAGAGTTTTAGTTAACGGAGATATTTCTCCAGGTCAGTGGTAGGACATTCACCTCAAAAAAAAAACAAACCTGGAATGGGCAGTTCAACCTCCAGCAGTGACTTTTCCCCATAATGAATTAATTGTGTGTGTGAACTATGATCCAGAGGGCAGGTGGGTGACCTCTGCACACTGATTAGTAGCCTCTCTCTGGCCCGTAACCAAAAAGAAAAAAAAATTGCATTGATGGCTAACATGTGGTCTTGCCTCATAGCCCCTTGTATGTGATTGCAAAGAAATTTAAAAGATGCAGAGTAGGATCCATCATTCGGATTAGATCAGATCCTAGTTCAGTGGAATTAAGTTGTGTATTTCACTATTGGGAATGTTTTAGATAGAAGTTGGTAGTATGTGGGTGTCAGTGCTGTATTAAACAGGAAATCTTGACCGACTGGATTTTTAATTGACTCAGGCATACTGCAAAATGCAAAGGGAATAATGTCTCAGTCTGGTACATGGGGCTTGTTACTTTGCATGTTATAGTTTCTGGACATTTGTCCACAGTGTTGAACCACCATCAGAAATACATACAATCTGATCAGGCTGGCAGTCTCTGGGGAGATTTGGAAAGGTTGTAGCAAGAACATTAATATTAATATTAATATTCTTATCATTAATAGAACACTGCATTGCATATGATTTGCCCTTACTGTGCCAGACATCAGAAATTATAGCCCCAACATGTAATCAAAGTTGCTCAAATGAGCCTAAAAAGTTCCTTTAGAAGTTGAGCTCTGCATGCTGGCATCAGTCACTTCACTCGCTGGATGTGTGCTAAGAAGCTGGGATCCAGTCAGGGATTTCTTTACCTCTCGGGTTACTTGACTGTTAGTACTGTGGTCCTGTGGGCTCCAACATTTTTCCATAAATCTCAGCTTCAGTGCATTTTTATTTTAGTGGGATTTTCTTTGGTAGTTTAACATCAGCCAAACTCCTACATGTCTCTTTCTAGTTTAGCATTAGCTGCCAGCTCTCAAAGGCTATACATCTAGTCAATTTTTCATCAGAGACACAAATTACAGAAGTTTCTAATAATAGGATATGTTCCAAATCACCCAAAATATCACTTGTTTTTCTGTAATCCTGCATGACTCACAATGCTGTTGTTTCATAATCGTTGTTGTGACATTTGCAGTAAGTGTTGTGCTCATATCTGAGTGGGTGGATAGCTGTGGTTTTCATGGCAGCAAATAAAACACTTTTTGCTGGGGATAACAGGTTACTATGACAGAGCCATTTACCAGTAAAACATGAGTCAATACCGTAAGTGATTACACTCTAGTGCATGGACAGAATTAGAGCGTTATCAGTAATGAAACAAATTTTACAAGTATTTTTACCACATCCATTGAAATAGCGAAACTTTTAAGTCATTTACCCTTTGGAACAGACAGTCTGGTGGGTAGACATTTACAGCTTTTTGGATGAACAAAGGTGCACTCCAAATGCTGCAGTTTTGCAGATAATCTTTTACTATCACAGTTCCCTTAATGGTACTTTCAGTACCATTTGTTAAAACACTGGTCTCACTATATGAAACTTAAAAGTTAAACTCACGATTTTAATTGCACCTTATAAATAAAATCTTGTTTTTATTAGGCCCAGATGTCTTCAGTATCATCAAGGTTCACCGCAGTAGCTATTTGTCTCCTGTAGCATGCCGTACACTTTCAGGTCACCTGCTGTGCTGGGGCTAAATCTTACTTGCCTGAGAAATGCAAGCAGGATTGAGCCCCTGCACAGCATGTCCCTTGAGTTCAGAGGGACAACCTGCTTTAGTCATGTAAAATGATTAATTTTAGGCATTTGCGGCCTGGTCAAAAGCCATTGAAGGCAATGGAAAGTTTCCAATTGGTGTAAGCAGGCTTCAGATCAATTTCTTTCATTTGTGCTTCGGTGAGCAGTATTTCCTAGAATATCCCTTGATTAAGCAGGAGACATGAATTACACATATTGCAGATAAACACATACTTGTTTTGTGCAACCCGATAGCCCTAAGCATTTAGTACTCGGCTCATTGATGTGATCTTTGTAAGGGGCTAGTGGAAAAATGTGTAGGTTTCTGACTAGCTGATGAGGTTTGTTTCAAGTGTATGTGAAGAGAGTCTAATTAATTTTTTTAAAAATCATCCCAAAAGCATCAAGAGATACAAGGGTAAGTAATTGTGAATATTGAAAGCTATGACAACCTTACTGTAGCTCCACAGCTGAGAAGTATTAAAGCCAAACCATTTTGTCTTTTCCTCATAATCCATACATGTGCATATTTACATGCACACATAGGTGTTCCTGCTTCTCAGCAGGTCCCGGTAGTACAACCAAAGTACAGTCGCTCATCATGGCTACTTGCTGATCGCTATGCACTGTTACATTTAGTTCTTGTACTCTGTTTTAAGAAAGAGGATAACTGTTGATGGGCTATTTTAAGCGTCAGGAAGCAGGATCAATGGACCAATGAGTAAGTATATAGAGGAGAAAGTAAAGCAAGTCGCTCTTTGGGGTAATTTAGGTGCCAACCCAAACCACCATGTCTGCATGTAGGACAAGTACATGGCTTAGCCATTGTTCTGCCACATGACACTGCTGGCAACTCCAGCTTTGCCACCACTGCAAGATATTGTTGACCATGTATAAAGACAAGCTGCAGCTGGAGTCATGTATTTCTGCCTCTGGGGGACCCTGCTTGAGCAGGATGGTTGGACTAGATAACATCCACTGGTCCCTTCCAACCTTAGCCATTCTGGGATTCTGTGATACAGAGGATCCCAATCTATGCAGATAGACTACTCCATTTATTTTGGAAGATGAGGTTTAACTGATGCTTAGGCTAATATTACCTGAAAATATTTTAAAAAAAATCAATCACTTACTAAAATATAAATGACGTATTATTAGTGGTATTAGAAATTAGATGGAAATGCTTTTACTAATAAACTCCTGTTTTCAACATTAAACTCCCATAACGTGATTAATTCTGCCTGATGAAACAATCATGCCTGACCTTAGTGTGGGAGTGTGTTTTACTGCAATGCACCCTGCCACTGTTGCATTTATTAATTCTAATCTTAGAAGGTAATAGTGGCATACCAAAAGCTAAAAATGAAACATATATCTTTGACATGGCTTTGTATAGATGCTGCAATTGTTATAAATTTGATTAATATTCTAGGAGGCACATTAGAGCTACTGCAGTGTCCTTTTTCCGTCAAATCTTTGTAGACTCCCTCCATTATATCTCCATAGTCTTGACATATTTGGATTTACTTGGTTAAAGGTGGATGTTATCAAGGCAAGTCACTGTTAACCAGGAATTAATGTAATATACAAGTGGAGCTTCTTTGTTTCCTATGCTATCTGTTGATATTCCCTAGGTACCAAAAGAAAATTACAGAGATAGACTTCTACTGTTATTGTCTCAGTGATAGGTCGTATCTCCAAACAAACTGTATGAGGAAGGTTATGTTTTGGAATAACATCCTGTGTTTTTGTGCTTAACCACTTTTCAGTGATGGTCTGAAGTTGCATTGTATTAACACAAAGTATTTTACAGAGTTAATTGATATTCCAGGTTTGTCCAGGGGAAAATCTACAGCTCCCCACAACATGCTTGACAAGTTATTATATTTACTTTAGTCAAAGCCCGAGTGTGCAGTATCCCTCTTGGAGGTGGTCTATTATTGGAGTCCCATATGCTTTTTGTTTGGGAAGAAAGCAGTCACTGTGTCATACTGTTACACAGGGTATTCTTTTTCAAGGATGTTGTTCCCTTGGGGACCATATCATGCCAGAGTTCCTAAGTCTAATAAGACCTTTGTAGCTCTTATTGTGTTAAAGTTCTGGGAGGGAAGCAAGAGTTAAACAGAAAATATAATTCAAGCAACTATACTAGACCACATGTTGAAAAACATCACTCTTCAAGCAGAAAGGCAAAGGCTTCAAAAAAATTCCAGTTGTGGTAATCTAACTTTTTATGTTTCTTCCCAGTTCATCTATGGAAAGACAAAGAGTGATCCTTTTAGAATGTCTGGTTTTATTCGACAGTAATCAAAAATATATCAGCAGTTCCATGTCCTTGAAAATTATATCACAAGGCTTCAAAAGAAGTTTTAACGATTTTAACCTGAACAGAATTAGGAAAGCTATGAGGACTGTCCCATCATCAGGGAATGATAGGGCACTATTTTTTAGTATATGCAGAAAGAGAGAGAGAGAGACAGAACATTATTTTAAATGGCAGATGTGTCAATCTGCCTTACTTTCTACCCGAAATTTCCATGTCAATGGAGGTAAATAAAGTGCCTGAAACATCCCCATATCATAATCTGGCTAAAAAAAGAAATTGACTAGTTAGAAATAATCTTACAACAAAAAATATAACAACCATGGTAAAGGTCTAATACATCCACACTCGTGACACCTTTGATTCAGCTAGATAGACTCCTTAATTCAGATATACTCCTTAATTCATTGGCTGAATTCCCACTGAGTTTCTAGTAGTGAAACTCCAGTTGATGAGAAGAACTGATGTTGAACTGATGAGAAGTTGATGAGATGGTCTAAAAATCGTCAAGATTTCAGTTTTGCATGGAAAATTGATTTACTAACCAAGGAATAATCCCAGACATATATCAGTTGTTTCCTTATGAACAGAACTATCAACAGCTTTTTTATAGGGACAGTAATTTTTCTTATCTGGAACTCCATTGGGATGCAAACCAATGAATGATACATAACTGGCTTTCAGTGTATCAGGATATGAGGATAAAATAACAGAGATAAAAAGCTTGGAGATTTACTTCTGTTGTTTTTCCCATTTATTCCAGCATCTGGTTTCTCAGCAACGCCTTTTGATACAGGATGAATCAGTGAACTTGTTGAGTCTGTACACATCCCCTTCTTTGCCCAACATTACCTTGGGACTTCCAGCAATACAACCTCAAATCAGTGTAAGTGACCAGTCTCAAGCCTTCCTATATAATTTTGCTTCCAGAAAACCTACTTTATCATAATTCTCTTTATTTTTTAGCATTTTGGAACATAAACAATTCAGAGTAGGAACCAGACATCTCTATGCATTGGGCAACATCTGGATATTTAAGGGCACAACTTGAAAGCAATACTCATTCTTAATCTCAAATAAACAAGTAGCAGTGTGGACCTTACCTACGTATGGGCCATATGCATTGCATTTATGTAAGATAACAGATTTCAGATGTGGCCTGATGTATATGAAGAGATTATTTAGTAAAAATGTTCAAATTATATGATCATCTCTATCTGATAAATTACAGCACCTGTAACTTTTTATGAGATTCCAGTAGCAACCTAAACTGGGCTGGAGCATAGTAGGGGGAGAACCTACTATTCCTGCAGCTAGGTTTGTATTGGAGGGGTATGCTATCAATCAGGCAAATAAAATTGGTGAGTAGTGAACAATTCTTAATATTTTAATGACAAGCTATATTCACATCCCTTTATTCAGTCTGCAACAATGACCTTTATTTAGAGATAAATCTTAAATTAATATGCAAAATGAATGAAAACACAGATATAGTATCTATGGAAATCCATGCAGATGGATATGGATCTTTAGATCTAAACCAAGTTACAGTAACCTGGAGGTGAAATTTGCAGCTCAGTATTGAAAATTTTGCTACTGGTCAAAACTTACCCGCTTTCCAGCAAAAAAAAAAAGTAAAAATACTGATATATTGTGGTTCTATACAACCATGTATTGTGAAGAAATTTTAACAATTTAAATTTCTTAGAATGGGAATTGGTAACTTCTATGAAAAAACTAGGGGTTGTAAGCACAGCTTTCCATCGAGGAAAAAAATTATATCTATGCAATCCACTGTGTAATAAATGCTACTGAATTCCAGTGCTAAATGTAGTTTCAAGTCAAAGTTCCATTTCACTTTATGGCTTATTCAATACATTTCCTGTTCTTAGCAGTAATATATTGCTGAAATCCAACATTTTAACATCAGATCCAGAACTTTGTAAAGAAAATTGTGTAAGCCTTAAATCAGTTCTCTGCAAGTCTTTTATGAGATATTTATAAGCAAATTATTGTTTGTAAGGGATGAAAAAATTGAACTGATCATGAAAAGTAGCACTTACTTTTTCAGGAGATATCAAGAAAAATTTCTTAACTATTTCACAAAATATATAACTAGCTTCAAAGTAATTTTATAACATTAAAATAGAAATGAAAATATGCTTCATTTGCTCACTCAAATTTTACAAGCTTTTGATGTGGTCAACTAGCACCAAATTGTACTTTTGGCATTAGAAAAAACAAAGGGGTTGATTTACACAAGTAATGTTTATTTCTGTTTCTAGAATAAGCAGTTGCAAATTGAATGTAAAGTTTACTCTGGTGTTTGTTTTTCAGGGAAGGGTAATTGCAAAGTGTGAAGTAAGCATACACCAAAAAAATATTGGTAAAAACCTTGGTTTAGAATTTATGAAACTCAGATTATCAGATAAACTGTTTTTGCCATGACATACCATAAGTGGTTATCTGAAAGCCTCAACATGTATATTTCTGTTCAGTTATTATTCTTGGTATAAAAAATGCTATTCTGCTTTAACTGCTGTCTTAAGATTTTTTTTTTTAATAGGCAAAGAGCAAAGAACTATAAAGTACATTCACAATGCTGAAGGACTAAAACTTCCAAAAGCTTTAATTCAATAACTGCAATTTATAAGGGTACTTTAAAATGCCACGCATGTACAATAGCTCTTGACAATTCTGTAGTTGAGGGTTTAACTGTATAAATTTACTTTGCAAAGGGTAAAACTTACATTTGTGCTGTCCTTCAGGGAGTCAGGGAGTGCTCCAGGAAAAGTAATAGCTTCCCACTACTACAGGTAATTATTTTGTTTTGCTGATTGGCTTGCTGTGTGATGGAAAGTTATGTGAAAAAACAAGCCTTACCTATTCCAAACTCAATGCAAACTATTTCCTCTGATCCCCTAGTTTCCTGTGCAGAAGGCTGTGGGAAGGTCTTTAGGAATTTTAAGGATAGGTCCTGTCCTTTCATTAATAATGTTCTAACTAGTAGTTCCTTATGCTTTGGCTTTTATTACTGATTTTTTTCCAAGTGGTTTCATTAAACAGTTTCTCACAGTGTTACATTTAACTGGCATGTTCTTCCTCCCTTTTTATCTCACGGTCAAAGTGTAAGATAGGGATGTTAACCTTTTCTTCTCTATGTATTCATAAAGTGTGATATATGACCATCTAATCAAGCGGAGGTATAAACATCCAGGTCTCTGAAAAGCAGTTACCAATGCTGTTCTTCTTTGACAGGCTTCATCGTCATTCAAAGAAAAGCAGAAGGGGGAGACCCCATCACTCAGACAAGGAGTGGCCTTGGCTGGACAGTATGGAGGAAACATTCCTCCATCATCCACTCATCCTCACATTGCTTTGGAGGGAAAGCCAAATAGCAGCCACCAAGCTCTCTTGCAGCATCTGTTACTGAAAGAACAAATGAGACAGCAAAAACTTCTTGTGACTGGTAATGATCAAAGCTTCAACAATACGACATTAAGATGTTTTTAATGACTCTTGTATTCAGTTTAAACTAAATGTAGTAATATAGGTACCATACATCCTAACCATTGGAAAAAGTGGAAGGGTAGAAGAGAAAAGGAATCTCTTTTAGTGATTCTATTCCAGACTCTTAGCCTGAAAGAATTCAGTGATTATAGAAAAGAGAAAATGATTACTTCATCACATTCTTTTCCAGCAGTGTATGGTGAGGCACGTGGTACACATCCCACTGAATCAGTGCTGATGCAGAGTTCCTCAATATACACCCCTCTTCTCACTGAAAGCTTTCTCTCCTATTAGAACTATTAGTTTGTTGTTTTTCACAGGGGAGTGAAATGTCCCTGTTTTGCAGGAGCAGTTCCTCTTCATCCGCAGTCTCCTTTAGCAGCAAAGGAGAGAGTCTCACCTGGCATAAGAGCTGCCCACAAACTGCCTCGTCACAGGCCACTGAATCGAACCCAGTCAGCTCCTCTTCCTCAGAGTACTTTGGCCCAGCTGGTCATCCAGCAGCAACATCAGCAGTTTTTGGAGAAGCAGAAACAATACCAGCAGCAGGTCCACATGAATAAGGTGAGTTCCCAAAGTAAAGAATTTCCAACTGACTTAAAGGTTGAAAACTACTATAGAAGCTTAGTTATTGAGGCCATGTGGTCATGGACAGCAGAGAGATTCTTGCACAAGTATCTTGTTTGTTTATGCATAGTTGATATATATATTTGTATAGAACTTAATTTTTCAGGTTCTGAAATAGGCTACAATTCAACAAAATAGGGTCCAAAGCAGCTTACAATTTTACATTGCAGGTGGCTTCCTGTTGAATGCTAAATAATGCCTTAAAGATTACTAGATTTCTCTCCAACTATTTTGTGTGTGTACTTTTGAGCTTCAGCAGTCATTCCATTCAACTGGTTTTGAATTGTATTAAAACCTTTCTCATTGTGGACTAGTATGTGGTGTTAATGGATAACTCATTTGAACTCAATCAGCAGATTAAATTTATTGTTTCTATGTGAGAAAGTCACTAAATATCTGGAGAAATTTTAATCACCATTTATCAAACTGACTTTTTATCTGTGAGTCCACTAGTAATGTGAAATTTTGTTATCAGACCATATAAGGAGAAAGAGAAGAATGTGCTGTTGCCAACATCTGATACAGAGTTGAATCATGATTGCCTGTACAGTAACGCCTGATTCTGAGCAGGGTCAGGGGGAAGAGGAAAAGCAACCATCCATTAATAACCAAAGAGCAGCAGAATCTAAATAGATGTATAAGGAACTAATGCTTCCATAACAAATGTAATGCCATTCCCTGCTCTAAAATTAAGATATACAAGTAATTAAATGTTTTTATTTGAAAACATTTTTCTGCATTTACTGAATAGCTTTCCAAAAGTTGTTTGCTGAAGCTCCTGTAATATTTCAAAGATACTAATCATACATCTTTAGTTGTCTTCTTTTGTTTGAGTATTACTCAATAACTCAATAAAGAGGCAATGACAAAGATGAAAAGCGGATGTTGGGCCCTTGTACCTAAGGAAAAAAAAAAATCAATCCGCCTTACTGGGTGAATTTCCCAGGGGTTACTGATTATTTGGAATCTACTAAGAATTCCCAACAAAATTAGAAACAAACCTAGAGTTTAAGTACATAGTTTGTACAGTGGTTTGGTTATTAAATCTTGTCTTAATTAGGAAAAATGAAGACTAGAAAACTTCAAAGTTCAGAGCTGATCCTTCCATGTTAACCTCTCTCAGCTTGGGTGTTTTTATTACTCAACTAGGACTCCAGTTGGCTTTTCTTTGAGTATGCATTCCATATGTTTAATCAAGATGGCATATGTATATCTCGTAGCCTCAGGTTTTGAAAATATTTCACCTTCCCTCAATTGTTTGAAAAGAAAAGAATTTTTAACGGGTAAAGTACTGAGTCTTTGTACTACAAACCCATCAGTTCATGCACTCCTCTCAAAGCAAAGAACCCCACTGATGTGTTTTTGTTAGATAATATGCTTATTATAAATTCCCCCATAGTATTTGGGATATGTGCTGTGACATATATGTACATTTGTCCCCAATGTGAAAATTAAACTTGAGGCACATAAACATATATTTCTAGTCACACAGGACAAGGAATGCATTGAACCTCACAAGAGCTAGACTAAATAAGGAGGTAAAATGACAAGTTGGTTGGGATAATGCTCGTTTCAGTAACTTTTTTTTGCTGAGTTAAACTACAATGAAAATACACATTAATGAGAATAATTTCCTCTCATACTTGAAATACACTTTCATTCTCACATGGTTCTTTGTGATGAAGAGACAAAATAAAATTCCTTCTTTTAAAACCTGGTGAACCTAGCTTTTATTCTGTACAGTATTGGCTATACACATATGCAGATAGTAGAAACTTAGTTTATCTTAGGGCCTTTCTCTACCTCGAACCTCTGTAACCTACTTATGCCCCAATAGCTTCTCAGTCTCCTTTACCCCTACTCCCAGAGCAGTCAGCCTTCTTCAGGAGCACAGTAACTCATCAGAGCAGCGAACACCTGAGAAGGAATGAGATCACGTGGCAGCCATAGAAGCAGAGTTATCTGAGGATGTGTGTGGTTTATCAGACTTTAGAGTTTGCAGCATCTAGGTTCTTCTCCATTCTCTGAAGAATCATTTTGGTGAATAGTACTGAAAAATGTCAGTGCTCTAACCATGTATGTCCTCTGCAAGGACACAGAAAGCCAGGGGACTTTCTTACGTACTTACGGAACCTGATTTTTAAAAACTGGAATTTGAGGGTAGCCCGCAGACAAAAGAGTGCAAAAAAAAATCAAATGGTGAAGTAGCTTTTATGTACTGAATTTAAAGCTATATTCTTTAACCCTCTAGCTAAAAATTCATATTGAACACCTGTTCCTACATAAGGCTTTTGCACTCTGCTAGCATGCTGGAACATACTTTCTTCAGTCTTAAAACTTTACTCTATTCACAGTTGAAGTTATTTGTTCATTACATAATTTGTATGGCTCTACAATCAAACTCTGCAAAGCAGAGTTATAGTTATTTGAAACTTTAAACAGTAGGTATTCTAGATCAGGTAGGAAAACAACCAATATCTTCTCATTTCTTAGGAATAGACTGGGCATGTATCAAGTGAACACATGAACTTATTTTCTATTGTTCTGTCCCTTACTCTCCTGTTCATAGTCTGTATAATGAAATCTGCAAAGAGGTATAATTTCCTTCTTTTCAGTCATGGAAAATGCAGGGGGTTTATTTAATAAGGAATACTCAAACATTCTCTTAAAAGTTTGGGTGATAAAGATCAGAACCATTTTAAGCTGACAAGACTATGAAATGCCACTTGATCAAGAGCTTAGAACAAATTAATATCTTTTTTCTTTTCTATTTCTGTTTCCATTTTTTTTCCTTTGAATATTTGCCCTGAGCTAAGATCATGTGGCATGTATCAGCACTGCCTGAAAACTGGTTTTGGTCAGATCTTTTTGGCTGACCTGTAGGCGATTCTTGCTGTAACAACAAAAAGAGGAAGAGAACCAGTTTTTCCCCACCCTATTGTTCTTGTATTTATCTTGTATTTAAAAAAAACATTTTTTTTTCTGAGGAAAAAATATACTTCAGCAGCAAGCCAGTGCTGATGTGAGGGTGATAACAAGCAAAATCTAACATAGGTCAGAGGTAGAGGATTCCCTTGGATCATTTCCATTCTGAAAAGAAACAAATCATTGCCAAAAGGTGTGCCTCTGTCCTTGATAACAAAGAGAAGCTCCCCTATGGATTTTTTCTGGTCAGCTGTCAGATGCCAGGCTTTTGATGTGGGAAACGGTATACATCTCCACTGAAGTCTGGCATGTATGCCTGTGGGATCTAGTACACTGACCTTCTGAAAACATTCTGCAAATGTTGACATCCCATCCAAAAGTAGGTAAAAATCCTTGTCCCAGAATTAGTAATGAATGTGAAGTAACCTGAACTCAGCTTGTCCTAGGGAAGATCGACTTTGCCATTGTCAGCTTTAATATACTTCTGTCCAAATGACAGCTTGTTTCCTCATAACACCCTTTGATCACCATTGCAAATCTTCATTCTGCTCAATAAAGGGAGTTCAAAGTCCAAAACTCCCTATTAAAAGTAGTGCAATTGGGTACCAGAAGACCATTACTACCATAAAAAATTAAAATCTTGATATTATTTGTGTATATCTGTATCTAGAAAGCTTTGACCCTGCCACTAGCAGAAAAAAAAAAGGGATTTTGATATAACTAATATAAGTGCAAAGCCCCTAGCAGAAGTCTGTGTCCAAGAAAATCTCAGAAATCATTATGTGAAGAGTACATGAATGAAAGCCCTCGGTCTTTAAAAGTTATTTTTGTCATATATGATGAATAAGGCCTGCCTCTGCTGAAACTAAACTAGCATGGTCTTCACTGGAACCAAGATATTATTTGATCAGTGCGGGACCCCTATTTGTGTTCTTAAATAGTGTATTCATAGCATTTTGACAATTTTTTTTTAGTGGTAAAATTCTCAGTATGTAAAGTAAATATTAAAATAATGGGGCAGTTGATAGTGTGCACTAAAATGTGGGAGCTGTATGGATAATGCTATAGCTTAGATAAGAAATACCTGAATTTCAGTTTTCATTCCAGGATGTCAATTGGTTTAAAACATCTTTGGATAGGGAAGCAATGGCTGGACAAGACTGTGAGGTAAAAAATATATAGGAAGTGAAAATTCATTAGTGCTTTAGATAATGTTCATAGTTGACCAATCTCTCTTAATAAAAATAAAAAATAATACAGAAATTTATAGTGATTTATTGATGGAAAAAATAGGAAGATTATTTGTAGAAATACTGAAAAGATACAGTTAATCCCAGATTAATCATTCATTTCTCTGAATGATATTTAATGAAATGTGGCAGACTGGATCAGGTTCTGCGGTAGTAAATTAATCTAGTTTCATTAAACATATTACACTAAGGTTTTGGCTTTGCAGCTTACACATCTGACTAGCATCCTCTGAAGGTGAGAGGTATTCTTCCAAATATTGCTTACAGCAGAGGTTTATTTGGACAAAACTAAAGCAACAGTTGGCTGCGTTTGGAACTGGAAAATACCCAGAGCGTTTTCTCCTTTCTTAAGAACTAATGTTTAAGCCATAATGCAGAAGAATGATTTTAAAAGACAAATATATGCCTTAGAAATGTTGTGCTACATGAGTAACAGAGACAACAGTAAGCAGGTGCCAAGTTGTTTTCAGTACAGCTAACAACAGACATAGCTGGCCAAAGTAGTCTGATTGTCATAGGGAAGAAGGGGAAAAAGCATGTTCAGGAAGTATATACATGAGTTCTTAGAAACAACTGCCATGTATTTCAAATGAACAATTAACTAAGAATGGAAATTATGGGGTGGTTGTTGCAGAATTTCATGTTTTGTCTCTTTGTAAAGACATTTTATTTAAAATCATGCATTTTACAAGAGTTTATCATTTCAAAGGAGAAACAAAGGCAGGGGCTGCAACTGAAGGACCTATAAAATGGTTTGTTGCAGTGTCCAGATTATTTACACTTAGTCTTCCATTTTTCTATACAAGCAAGCAGGTTAGATTATGTTAGATGACTTTTTTTGGTTGGACTCTTGCAGTTATACAGTGGAGTTGATGTCTGTAAATGCTTCCTCTTTTGCTGCCACTATTTACTTTGGCTCATGCATATCCCTTACAGTTTAATTTCCTGAAAATAAAAGCAAAAAAAAAAAAAAAAGTTACATTAGCATGAAGCCATTTTTCTAGTGACTGCTTTAGTTGGAATAGTGATAACACTAAAGTATACTAGTTAAAGATAACCAGTATGTACAACTCTTAATTTCTTAGTGAAATAAATTATAGTTTTGTTATTATTTTTAAATGCAGTTTTACTAAAACTCAGATTAAACAATCACTTTTTCAAAATAAAAAATATGCATTAAAATGAGGAGAAAGTCCTGCATGTACTTACTGATAAGTTCAGAAAAAAAATGGAAAGTGAGGATTTAAAGTGAAAAATTTAAACATTAAGTGTAAGCAGAAGTATCCAGCTGCACAGTGAAAGGACCTGAGCAGTGTTTCATTCAGAACTCATTTTCTGCTGTGCAATCCATCTTCAGATAGAGAGAAAAGATAGAATTACTGACTCTAAACTGCTATCTTCATCTGTCTCCAGATACGTAATTTTCCATGGTACTACCAGGAGCTATAATATAAAATAAGATGTTTATGGCTTAGGAGAACTGAACAGTCTCCTGGTAATGCTGCTAATATAGTACTGGAATAAGATGGGGCCAAGCTGTCTTTAAAAAACACATTTCACAGATTTTTAGAAAATTTAATTTGCTTATCTCCTCCTGTGGCTGAAGTCTGGAGCAAATCACCTGCTGACTTCCATGGCATGGGAAGAGGCCCCAAAACAGGAACAGTGGAAACTGAAATGCGCACAAATACCACTCTGAGTCTCTGCAGCCCCCTTATGTATGCTTGTTCACTCCACTGACTGCATGCAGAAAGTGTCTGAAGGTGATCTGTGTATTCAATCTGTACTGCAGTCCGTCATGTGTTGCCTCAGAAAGCTCAGCAGCAGATCTGTGCCCATACAGCAGTGTGAATAAAAAAAGGCCTGACATAAAAGTGAAAAAGCATAAAAGAAAGGAGAGCAGTAATGAGCTAAATATGTGTCTTAACTTTGCTGTGGACATGTACTCATTTTCTCTTGGCTTCCCCTCCAGAATAATCCACCTGGTGTCAAGTAACTGGCACATGGAATGGTTTACAGATGGATCAGCCTCAGTAACTCTTGTAGCTGTATATGATTATATGTCACACAGATGTTTCAGCTTGTATTTGCTCACTAGTAGCCAGCCACACAGCCTTACTTGTCTTTCTCTTCTTGTTTGAGGATGTTTAACTAATAAATAATAATAATTTATATAACACCTAAGTGACAGAGAGGAGTGTACCTGAGCTGATTGCATGTAGTTAGTTTTAGTGCCTTTTTGGTCAGCGTCATCCCCTGAGAAGCAACTGGAAAAGATTTATGTATTTGATCTGAGACATTTTTTGGATGCTGCTTAATAAAAGGAGACACTGCGTTAGTTGCAGTAGTGAGGATTGCCCAGTGTAGTGTATGCCACCTGCAGCATGCAGGATACACATATTGTGATTTCCCAGTTACTACAGTAATGAAAAAGGATTTTTTGTTTGTTTCTTTTTAGTAAACCATTAAACTCCCATTACACCCCAAAAATGAAGGTTTGCTGTGACAGAAGGCAGACAGGCTTCCACTGTGGAATTTGTTTCTCCACTGATGAGGCGTATGCATCAGAGCATCAACTGGAACTGCATAAACTGATCTTTCAGCTCTACTTGTGGATTTTGTGGGAGTTCCTAAATCCAGCTGTAGCTTCTTGATCATAGTTTACATGACAACCCTGCCCTGCACTAGGGGTGGCATTTTTCTGTATGCATTAGCAAGCTGAATGAAACTGGATGGTCTATGGTTTGTGACAAAGTAGGTATAGTGAAGCCATCCAGTAACTCAGTATATGACACTAGCTAAAACTCAGTTTTAAAGACTTGGTATTTTGGGAGGGAGGCAGATGGGAAGAGGAAAGTATGTAAGAGTAATGGTAAAAGGTATATTTTTCCCCTCAAGATATTTGACTTTGATGATGATGAGCATTATTGGCTTGAAATGAAGGGGGGCAGTTGAGTAAATGATAATTACTCACTTGACCCCTTGGAAATTCTTACTCACCTGTCTGATTTGTGCCTCTTTCAATAAAGTGGGAATTTTGCAATTCATTGGCTTTATCTTAAATAGCAAAATGTAAACTGCATGTGATTGCAACGCTCAGGCCTCTGGCACTTCAGCAGAGCTTTACAATAGCAGTTAATGGTATAAAACCAGTATTTTGGGTAGCTGTGTTATATCATTATTGCTGAAACTGGGATACCTGTACAATGCACCACAAAATCTGTGGTCTTTCCAGTCATGGATAGATGTGCTTGTCGTGTCTGTGTGCCACACCATAGGGGACTGACGCCAGCTCTTTGTCACTGCTCCTTTGTTGGCTTTCAGTGACTTCAAGCTTTAATTGATTGAGAAGTTTGTGTGAACATTCCCTAATTTGCTTATAATGAAATATTAACCAGGTTACTAATTTTCTTATACCTTAGTTTTCCTTTATTATTTTGTGTTGTGGAAAATTAACTGTAAGATTGTTTTTCTGAATTCATGTTTGAAGAGTATGAAGGGAGAGAAATTTCTCTTGATTACCAGCTGTAACAGTCTAACAGATGTTTTCATTATTCTGCCTGATTTTTAGTTTATTATTATTATATAGCACTCCATATACATGGTATTTTCTGCTGCAGAATAAGAAGTGACCTTTTGCTTAGGGACTTTTGTTCTTTTTTCCCTGTACATCAATATTTTGGCAGTGCATAGCTACATGGGTTTGCTGCAGAAGCTTTAGTTTTGTCCCTGCAAATCTAGTACTTTTTGGTGTTTGGCAAAAGTGAAGGAGTCAGTAACTGTTCCCCTCTTCTCTTTCCAGATGCTCTCTAAGTCCATTGAGCAGCTCAAGCAGCCTGGCAGTCACCTGGAGGAAGCTGAAGAAGAGCTTCACGGTGATCACTCCATGCAGGAAGAGCGAGCTCCCACCAGCGGTGCCAGCGGTGCCAACGTTAGGGCTGAGAGCAGCAGTGCTGGTGTGGATGACAGAATAGGACAGCAGGTGGGGGCTGTGAAAGTCAAAGAGGAGCCACTGGACAGTGATGAGGATGTTCAAACCCAGCAAATGGAATCTGGGGAGCAAGCTGCTTTTATGCAACAGGTAATAGGCAAAGATTTAGCTCCAGGATTTGTAATTAAGGTTATTATTTGAACATCACATGCATTTTCTAGGCTTTGGTAAGCAATTGTGTTTTGATTCTCTGACCTAGCAAATCCTGATTTGCTGTTCGAAGAGTTTAACAAGTGCAGAAGTGTTGTATGTACACTTGAAAACATAGTGAAGTCCATCCTTATGGCCACTAATTGAGAAACTACCTGTTGCAGTCAATTATTCTGCATATATCTGCGTAATAGCTGATAGACATTGTATTAACCCAGAATTACCTTACATCGCTTAGTTTTAGTGAAAGAGATCTTGTATCACTTAGCCTGTTGAGATCAGCAATTGCTGGAACTAGTTTCCAGACCTGATTGATGAAACATTCTTCTGCTCTCATTTTGAATCCTCTGACTTTTGCTTTCAGCTGTCTGTATATATTGTATCATACCGTAGTCTTGAACACTGTTAATGTTAGGGTATTTTTTCCCCAGTAGACAGGTACTGACTGCTATATCAGTGGTCCCAAGCTGATGTATAAAGTTAATTTAGAGAAAAGTACAAGGTGGATATAAAGAGGCAAAGCAAGGCACTGTTTTAAAATTGCGTTGTTTTCTTTTTTTGCACTGCTTGGTTAATTTTTCATTCTGTCTTATTTGATGATAATGTCCTCAGAGACATCCTTAAATGCAGCAGATGAAAGTACTGGTGAGAAGCAAAATGCAGCATTAGGCTCCAGTCAGTTATTAGGACATTGCACGAAAAGCACACATACGTTATCATTATCATCTGATATCCAATCACTTGTTTATTTCTTTTTAAATGAAGACTAATCGTAAAATATTGCATAACCTTTCCTGCCGGGGTCTCATGGACAAATCCTAAAATAACAACTGTGCATAAAATGCCACCTTGACAAAGGGCACATTCAGCTTCTCTGGGAGCTTTTCCCCAGAGCTGAGAGGCGCAGTGTGTATGTGCAGCCCGCAAGCTGGTGTCCCTCTCCATCCTTGTATGATCAGGCAGAGCAAGGCTGGGTGCTGTGCAGGGCCCTGTTTATTTAAGTCAATGCTTTGTCAGGTCCCTGCTGTTCTCCTGCAGAAAAGTGATTTTGGGAGGGGGGGCAGGAAATGCCTTATGGAAACAGGAAGCCCAAGTGATTCATGTGCTGAGGAATGCAGGCTGGGGGGAGATGGGGGGGACGGGGCAGCGCTCCCTCTGTTTTTAAAGGCACTCTATGAATTGATTTATTGTCAAAGAAAATAACAAAGCGAGTAGGGAAATTGTTAAGGAAGCTTTCCAGTGAAACATTTCCTTCATATTCCCTTTTGATATGTTTACCTTGTTTTATAGGTTTACTTTTGTTAAGCTAGTTAAAGATTCATTGTATTAAGATCCCCTTTAATATGGATAATCCCAAACTGACCTGGACTCCTTGTCAGGTTTTTTTTCTATTAAAAATATTTATATTTCTAAAGCTGAGGTATTTTAAGGTGCAGTATCCTGTTTCAAAAGAGATAGCTGTTTTGCCAAATGTAGAAATTGTTCTAAAATATGTTATTAGCATGTGTTATTTACATTATGCTCTAATATGATTAAATCTCTTCTAAAATGTTGCAGCTTCTAAAAAGATACATTATCCTTTTTCCTAGAAGGTCTCCAAACAAATGACTAAATAGTTGCTGATAACATGAAAGGCCTCAATAAATAGAAAAGATTTATTAATTGAGAAAACACAGGTGATTTTTATGTGTGCTTCCTATTTGAACAGAAATCTTTCTCCATCTTGGATGAAAAAAATCACATTCACATTCAGAAAGTGAAGGATATAGAATGAAATTATATGTGTTTCCCATTCTGTGTATTTTTAATTTTCTTTGAAATCTAACTTCAGCCTTATCTAAAAGGGATAGTGCATCTTTAAAATACATTTGGGGAGAAACTTGCAATTGAGAAGAATTTTGTACAATAGCACTTCAAAGACATGTATTCACAAAAGGCAAAAGATATTTTTATAATGTCATTCAGATGAGAAACCCCAATACATTAGTGGACTTTATTTCAGAATCTTTCAAATCTGGATAAAATTAAAATAAGAGAAACTACCTGGAACCAGTGAAAAGGAAAACTGGGTTTAAACAACCACATTTCTAATTGATTATTGTCTCTTACATTTTAAATCTACTGTATTTATTATAATTTACACCCTTAGAGGTGATCTCTTGTTTTGTGTTGTAAATATATTCTGTTTGTATGTTCCCTTTTTTTTGCCTTCTGATATGTCTCTTCCTTTCTCAAATAAAGTTTTTTTTAAAAGATCCCCTTTCAGATATCTGACTTTGTGTAAATTTGATAACTTAGTTGTGCTTTTGCTTTGTATAACAAAATACGTTTGCTACACATCGTTGAAACAATTTAAACTTCCAGGAACAAGGTTTTTATTACAGTATTCTTACAATAATTACACAAAGTCTTTATTTTTTAGTCTCTTGTTTTATCCTACATCAACCATTATAAGTTTTAGTGAATGTGGAATAGTATCAATGCATGCTCATTTTCCCATCATGACATCTGTCTTGAACATGTGATCATATATTGTACCATATAGGAAAGGTAAAAGTGAATCCCAGTGCCTTGGCTTCTAATTATCCAAAATTCAAACAAACTGAAATAATTTCCATGATATTTCTAAAACCTGCCTAGACCCCTGATCTGAAAATGTGCTTGTACTGACCTCTTTGATAGTCATCAAGACCTTTGCAAAGCAAGAGTCCACCTGTAAATAGGTTGGGGAAGAGAGAATCCAGGAACTTGGCAGACATTAAAGCATGAGACAGTGAAGTCCTGCTGTAGAGAACTTCCATGAAGATGTTAAATGCTATGTGACGTTTCCTGAACTTTGCTTAGGATCTACAGAGAGAAACAGCTGGTACTGTGTAGCAATCCCTGTTGCTACAGTACATGAATTACTACTACCAAAAGACTTCGGAAAATTGTTGCATTCTAGCTCTTTTAACTGTTCATTTGGCTCTAAGCAGCTTTGATTCTGGTATAATTTTAACTAAAATAAAATGCTTTCAACAACGTAAGTATTTAAGAATAAATAGTTCTGTAAATCAAATTCAGTTATTCTCACTGCAAAGTAATGCTTCATCAGTAATACACCCACAAAAACATAAAATGTCAAGTTTTAGCTTAGGAAAGCTTAAAACAAGTATAAACAGTATAACATTATACTGCTTGCTCTTTTGTTTATAATGATTTGGAATCCTATGTCTATAAGTAAATCATGCTTTCAACGGGATTTTATTGAGATTCCATTTGTTTAAATACTCATGTTATATTTAAAAGCCATAGATGTTTTCAACTTACAACATTCCTGTGTCAGAGGTTCCACCTAGATTTTTTCCTAAATTATTTGTTTATCATGCATCAAAGCCCCCATAATGAAGAAAATAATAAGTTAATACAATTCACAAGCCTTATCTTTTTCCCAGAATGATGTGCATCTCTTTTTTTTTTTAACAGTATATGTTTATTCTGTCCCATTGTTAAAAAAAATAAAGCCAGTATAGCTGCCAATTTAGAAGTAATTGCTCCTAAATGAGGGAAAATGCTTCATAATATTTACCTACCCAAGCCAGACCCACATTACTGGAAAGTAGGTACTATAACATTAGCCTTTTTTCATCTTCTGGCATTAACAAAATAGGATTAAAAGCTGAATGCCTCAGCAAAGCAGGAGCATTTCAGACACTTATCACCATTCATTTGTGCACTATCTTCATTTCATTTTCATTACCATCAGGATCACTAAGACTTACTCCATGTTACTTAAGCAAACTATACCCTGTTTTTATCTTCACTGGCATTCTGAGGTAGAAATCTATAACCATTAGTCCCAAGTAGCAATCTAAAAATGTTTACTTACTTCTCCCCTTATGAACACTTCACGTTTTGCAGCCAAAATTAGCTAAGCCAAGTTAATTTCCTTACTGTATGCTGTCCCACTAGCAGCATGTCCTACTTATCCACTTAAGTAATGTTTGTTTGATTTTCATTTATTTGTTTAGTTTCTGATTTCCTTATACAGTTCCCATCATCTGGGTGGTAACAGAGCTTCTGTACCTCATTTCTCATTGGAAGAACATAGCTTAGAACACCATCTGCTGAATTGCTGGTCAGGCAAAAAGAAAAGCATCCTGGATGAAATTATCTTCTCTGGGCCAGATTTTACCACTCTATTTGGGAGACACTGTGTTTTGTATTTTTTTTCTCTTCTAATTCAGCCTAATTTAGAATAAGATTAAAAAAACCCAACAATTATTTCAAACTGCACAGCCAGCGGAAAAGCTGGGTTTCTCAGCCATGCTTACTCGCCCACACAGACAGGACTGGGAAGGCACATCTTTTAGAACCTGTCCCGGGTTCTGGTCCCCATTTGCTGAGCTCAAGTGTCATACTCCTTCTGCTTATTTTGATTCTGCACCCATAACTTATCTAGCCCATACAGTATAAGTTCCCTGGCTACCTGTGGGCATGCACATCTGTTGGAGCCCCCCAAGAGTTATTTCAGCAGCAGCTGAGAGTTAAAAGGGTACTAACTAGCTTAATAACTTGAAATCATTCAGGAATTCACTGTGATGGCTACTCAGGGGCCTTAGTCACTAGAGTTGTTTTGACAGACCAGGTACTTACTTGTAAGTGATCCAGTGCTTTAATTAGCGGATTGAGATGTTTTGAATGTGGCTCTGGAGTCTTTGTTGCACTTGTTTTACTTTATTTTCCATAGCTGTTTTGAAGTAACTGTATTGACTCTTTAACAGTACATAGCCCCAAAATACCAAGGAGATTGTTTGGAGGATATGATGTCAAAAGTATCCCTCTGTACACTGCAGGTGGCATGCCCTAAACTGGGCAATCCTTACTACTGCAACTAAGGCAGTGTCTTCTTTTATTATGCAGTATATGAAAAATTTCTCAGATCAAACCCATAAATCTTT